AGCTTGACAACGGCTTTCTACCGCGACGCCATGGGATTTATTCTAGTTTATGACGTTACATGTGAAACGTCGTTTCTGAACGTCCGTGATTGGCTTGCGCAGCTGAAATGCCACGCAGCAGTGGACGATCCGGATATAGTGCTTTGCGCGAACAAGGTAGACCTGGAGGACATACGCAAGGTGTGTTTTTATTGTTGTTCCTTTGTTTTACGCCTTTCAACATTTCAGGTATCGACTCAACGGGGTATGGAGCTGGCTGCTCAATTACAGTACGTGCAGATCTGAAATTTTTACAGATTTGCAACAGCTATAGCAAATACATCGCCTTGCGTTTGAGGCTTTGCTCGGTTGAAACCCGATAAGTCCTTATTGTCCCAGAAAGAGTTTAAAATTACTGCTACACATTCCAGGTTCAGTCCTTTCATGATTTAAACAGATTGGTTTAGGTGATTTTTAGCGGTTAACCATCGTTTCAATTTAATGTGGTCTATCGTTCAGCACCTGTGATCAATTTTATTGTTTACCCTGCTGCAATTTAATAATTTTGGCTTAAGTCACTGTGGTCACAACATGCTTGTCCTATTTCCTTATAGTGCAAATTACAGTAGAGCCCCGCCTATTCGGATGGTGAAGTAATGTGACTTAGCGTGATTTCATTTGTCAAAATACTGATAATTGAAAGAAAGTTTTAACTTTTTTTGCGGTACCGTGAAGTTAGTACTTTTGTCTAAAGACGTATTTTAAATGATCAGTGACGTAGTCAGCAGAAATATATCGATGTTTTGTGATGTAACTTATAAAGTGTCACATAATCTGTCAATGCAAGAACCAAATAGTGATGTCCCATTCAAGTAAGGACTTTTACAGCCAAGCTGCTTTCAGGTAAAGTTTTTAACTGAACTGAATTACGCTCTCCATGTCCCTTTTGTAGTGTCACAGTAGCATCCAGGAATGAAGGTCAGTGTTGGCGTTTTATGATGATTTTAGCGCCTTGTTTTATTACTGAGTTTCACTACTTACTGATATAGCTTGAAGAACTTCACCTCTTCTGTTAACACATGACAGTTACGATAAGCATTGTCAACGTTCTCCTTTTACTGAATGATCCCTCTAAAAGACTCGTTTATTAAACATTATTTATACAACTGAACATCGGAGTAAGGGCCACCCCTACCGTATTACAAAAGTCGCCGGGCAGGGGTGTGTTCTTGGCTGGTGAAACTACGACACGCTGGAACGAGTTCCTTATTTAAGGTAACCTTATGTTAGGTTACTGCATTAGCTTGATGGGTAACTTTAAGAAACTTGATAAGTAGCTTGAGAGAATCGGTTTCTTTGTTTGCTTGATGTTGCAGTTGGTTAGGCGCGAACTGTCAGCATATGAAATATTGTAGTTTTGAATCACGATGAGGTCGCTCGAGTTTCACCGTTCATAAGTTTTACAGTTTCACTCTTTGTTAATATTACTGACTGTTGATGAAATCAGAAAACCAACACATACCCGAAGTTCCTTTGACATGTAGCGTTACAGATGCCACCCATTACTGAAGTGTAGAGATAGATAGCACTTGCAGTCTTTCGTTTCTTCTTATATACTGTAATTATTCGAGTTGATGTATTCTATCTTTTAGAGTGAGCACTTTTATATAGGTCGTATTTTGATGATTTCACTCATTTTGATTTCGAACTCTCTTCGAGTAGCTAGGATATTATGTTTCGGCGGTGTCACTATGAGTTATTTTCTAATGAGCAAAGGTAGTGTCTGCATTTATGTTCGCCTTTTTGATAAACTGGAGCTGCAACTATTGTGGTTGACCGTTATTCATGGACCTCATTTCTTTTGAAGTCTTGAAATCTTTGCTAAAGGTTTAAGCGATTATGCTGAAGTTCTGTACACTGCGTTATTCAGATCTGTTAGGGCTTCAGCGTCACACAACCTTGGGAGATTGTAAGGATTTTACTGTTTCTGACATCCGGTATTTCCCGATATTTTAAAATAATCTGACTTAACTGATTGTATTTCGTGTGCTGATATATTTTATCTGGTCAATTTTAGGGTTCCTTACTTTGAAACGAGTGCTGCTACTGGACAGAATGTTAAGAAAGCTATCGAATTCTTGCTGGAACTTATCATGGAAAGAAGTAGTAGAGCCACTGAAGTAGAACTTGGTTGTGTCGATGGTGTTGAGCTGAATAGTCCTGGCCTTCGAAAGCGATGTTATTGCATCTAAATAGCTGCGTTTACTTTCCGTGATTTATTTGGCATTGTGGTGATAACATATCCCGTTTTACTGTGATAACTGATGTCATGCATTCCATTTATATGATAGGAGTTCCTTTCTGATTTTAAATCTTGATGTAGACTGTTCGCATTGCGGCTGTTGTTGGATTGAATAGACATAACTGTTTTCTTTTCTAACGGAATTTTCGACGCTAAGAACGTAAAGGTTGTCGCAGTCTAAGTAAAATTTTGAGGGATTCTGTTTTTGGAAGTTTTCTTAAAGTTGTGAGATTTGGATCAGACTAGAATTTTATGGATAATGTTAAGCATAGGAGGGACAAATGCCAATTACCTCTGCTTAAATCGGTTAAAACTTCATCTCATTTCAGTGATGACAGTGAAAACGACAGCGATTGTACGAAGCTGAATTATATATGTGAAGTAACCCAATTTCAACGTTGCAGTACGAAAGTTGACTGATGATAAACTGATGGCAGTCAATACGAACACACTTTTGCACAGGAGCGCTAGCGTTCACCGTTTTGTAATCGGCCGGAACGTGGCCTGACATACCTGTGCAAAAAGTGCATAAAGACATGCTCACGGGCAGGATGGTTATGTCTGTTAGTTCTGACAAGATGTTGCCTTGGCTTGCGGTGCAACTATTGTGAAACTTCCAGATGGCCAAATATATTCTAGCAATATTGGCGAATGGTGTATATCGCTAAATTAGGGTATTAAGGCATTTCTTGTATTTCGTTGTCCTCCTACTGGCTAGTAGCGTCCTGCTTTTTTAATAGTACAGTTCGATCGTCAACGTGCATGATGAGCCATCTGGTTTAATGGTGAAGGCAACGGAAGAGAATTGTTGGTTTCCCTTCTATTTTCAGTGAAGTGGAAAATACCTCGCGTGTCATGCTTTAGTCCCTTTGAATTCCTTTGAAAATGACTTAAGAAATTTCTCATGATCGGGCTTGGCTTTATCTGAGTAGGTTCTTTAACCGCCTGTACTTTGCAATCCTTTCGGTTCTGTTTCATTATTACCAAAGCGACATCCAACTGTAAACGATTTTCTAGACAGATGACGCCAAATGATTTCTTCTGCGGTGCACATTCACATGTAATCATCTGTTTTATGTTTCCTCATACAACTTTAATGTTTACTTGAAGGGTTTCAATGCTGCATAGGCGCTTACTTTTAAAGCATCCGCGCAAGAAACAAGCGTAGGCTTCTTGGAAGATACATGGAGACGTGTGGTGTTTTTAGGTGGAAAACGAAAAGCGAGCTTGCTAATTAAAAGGCGTAGTATTTGCAGGTGCCGTGGCCTTAGAGACCGGAGTTTCTCAGTCGATGGAGTATCAGACTCGGAACGGGGAGGTCACAGGTTCGATCTTCACCCAGTTTAGTCGCTTTTTTTTCCGAGGTTGATGAAAGAGTACAACTCTGAGCGAAGGAAACAGGAGGCTGCACATTGCTTGTCTCATAGCTCTAAGCCTTGCCCTTAAAGCAGACATTTCAGGCGTAGAAACGGTGGTCAATGCTGCATCCTGGACTTTATGAAAGGAGGGTGCCACAGATGTCCCATAATCATAAAAGTTAAGAGAGGCCAAAATTCCAACAGTTCCAGGCTTTCCTTCATTTTGGCCCTGCAGTATACTAAACTCGTATACTAATATTAACTCAGTCTAACTAACTAATAGTATGCTAATCTAACTCAATCGCAGGAAAAAAATGTTCAATTGCCATTGCCTTGTCGGTGAGTCCATCATTCGATATCAGTGTTCAATGATGAATACTTAGACGACAAACCGATAACCAACAGATGCACAGTGACACTGTACTGTCGTATTGTCATGCAGTCCATAGCCGCAACGGTCAGCGACTGTTTCAAGACCGACTACTGCATATGGCCTTCATGCTACGAAGAACGACAAGGATACCTTGATGAGACGTGACATGCCCCCTTGTGTTCAGCTGATTGCGTAAATAATCCTTTTTCTTGGCGAAGCGGTCT